TCTGGTGAGTGCATGCACCCTGTAGCACAAACCTCTTCAAAAAAGAAAATAAGATATTGCTTGAATCATTAAAGTTCTAGGGCCATATTTTGGCTGGTGTTCTAATTATATCTACTAATTGTTCATTCTCATGAAACAAAAACAAAATCAAACAAAAATTTAGGGACTTTTCTAGCTTAGGAAATACTACTGTTCAGAAACTACTGATTGATTAAAGCATTTGTAAAATTCATTTTACAAGATATGGGATTTCGAGACAATTGACACTGCTGATACGATAGATGACACTGGATTGCTAGAGATCGAACCTATTAATGAACTTCAAGTAGACAAGAATGTCGATCTTTTCTCTATGATAAAAATGAATGAAACTGGAAATAACTTTTGGTTGGCCCAGGTAAGTTGTATTCATCTCACTTTGTTCTTTAAACTTACCTGGACATAAAAATTAAAATAGTATAATTGATTATCTGGACTACCAGTACATTTGACCCTAGGTAGTATGAGATTGTTTGCTTTTTGTGTGGTTGTATGTTAAAGTATATAGAAGTTGCTTTTGTTAAATTTTAATGACTTTAAACTATACATAAACTGGGCCATCAAGTGACGTGGAGGAGAAGGTGCTTGATACCACATAACCGACTTCACGGTTTGAGTCCTAGACCCAGCAGTTAGAAAATCACACAGGGCACATGTGTGTCCAAAATCCCAAGAGGAGAGTGGAAGAGAAGGGATTGTGGCATAGCCATCCCCTCGGGGAGGGGGGGTGATATCTCGCTTTCCTTATCTCTCTCTTTCTCATTCTGTCTCTCTAGCAAACACACACACCCTATAATCTCTCTCTCTCTTTCTCATTCTTTCTCTCTAGCAAACACACACACCCTATAGGGGGAAAAAAAAAGAAAAAGAATGTATGTAAAGTTTTGATATTCACCCTTACTTTAAATCATAGGAATAAAAAATTTTATTTGATGGAAGTTAAAAATGAGAAAACTAAATACTACTAGGTATTTTAATTTTTTCAGGACGCCAATGGAGCCATATGGAAGCTTGACCTTAGTTTTTCAAATATCGTAAGTTGCCTATTTTTCTCTAACTTTTATAGTACAAAAAAACCTTTGTTATTTTTTATTTAAAAGACATTTTACATTTCTCCAAATTCGATCATCATTCCCATCAAAATATCACTCAAAATTTGCAGTTCCTAAAAATTCCCCCTTTTCTCCCCTTTCTTCCCCACCGCTCATTATGGTTTTACATAAAACAGATCTCAGAGCAAAATTTACCCCCAAAATGACAATGACACAGCCTAACATTATTCAGTGTTTTCTACAGTGTTCATGAAAGCATGGCATTTTCATTTCTATTATTTCATTTACATTGGCCCTCACAGTAACTCTGTTAGGCGGGTGACTGTCGCCGTCTCATTTACGGAAGGAGAAACGGAGAGTGACATTTGGTGTGATCTGTGTCAAATCACACAGCCAGTAAGTGCAAAGCCAGGCCTCCACCTGGCTCTCCGAATTCCAGCGTCCAGCACTCTTTCTAACCTATTACGCTTCCTATTTCTACCCAAATAAAATCAGACACATTATGGAGTTCTACTGGCATTTCTTTAAACCTGACCCTAATTGTGTGTTATCCTGTCTTGGAGATTGAGGCAGCTGTCTGTCTTTTCTGAGAGCCAGGATCCAGAATGCCTCTTTGCTTTTCATTCGGGAGCTGTCGAAGCCTTGGCCATTTCTCCTATCACTTACCTCATGGCCACAGTTGCCCTGGACTGTAAGTAGAAACGCGCATTGAAAATATATCAGGTCTTGTCTTGTTTTCAGAACAGTTTCGTGTGTGTGTGTGTGTGTGTGTGTGTGTGTTTGGTTAAAAGCATTTGAGAATTTTTCCAAAAGGAAAGTCTTTTCAACATAAGGGAGGGGTCATCACTGAGAGGCAGAGGGCACAGAATGCAGCAGCCATGGCTCTGCAAGAGATGAGAGTAAGGACGCGCTCTGAAGCTGTTCACGGAGGGGCTGTTTACTGTGATACATGCATTCAC